CTCCCCGCCCCCGCCGGGCTGTCCCTGCGGACTCCGTCAGGCTCCGGCGTGCTTCCCGGGTGCGACTCTGCGAGGCGGCGCGAAAACAGAGTAACCGATTCCATCACTGTTTCCTTCGGCCTCGAACTTGGAGAGATTTGCCGCGAAAACGAAAGTACATAACTATCTGGTACGTCTGCGCGAAGGCAGCTGTGGCAACGGACAAGTTCCGCGAAATGGGAAGGGGTGGGGCCTGAGATGGGCGGGCTCCAGGTGAGCTGGGGGCGGGGCCCCGAAGTCAAGCGGCGAATGGCCCATCGGGTGGTGGGTGGGGCCCCGCGACGTTTCCGGAAGTCGTTGTGAGTGAGCCGGGATTCCCGGAAGTCGGGCGAGTTCCTCTTCCCCGCTCTTTCCTGCTCCGGAGGATTAGGTCGGCGGGCTCCCCGAGATCTTCCGGCCAAAGGATCCCAGCTTGACTCTTAAAGCGAGTTGGGAGGACACGGAAAGGAAATGTTACGTAGTCCTAGAAATCGCCGCCCGCGCTCCCGGAATTCGGGCGCAAGGCCGACTGTCCAAGGCTTAGCCACTTGCGCCTCGGAGCTTTTGGCGTAAAGCAGTACGAGGGCGGAGACCTCCCCTCCGGCCACGAAAGCTGTGTGACGTTGCGACAGGACCTTGGGTTTTATTATTTTGGTGGGAATGATGAGCTTTCATTGCGGTTTCAGTAAGTTACAGTCGCCTTTGCTGTTGCCATAAGAGGATCAGTAGGTGTGTCTGCCTGGGACTTCTTACCGACCTTTGAAAGGACCTTTTTGTTGCACTTGGGGACACAGCGGGTTGCAAGCACAATCAAAAGCATTTTCGCATAATTTTAGACGTGAACTAGCAAATGGGAAAGAAGAGTCAACAGCCCTATTGCCCAAAGCGGCTGATGTCATAACCCTAGGAGACCTCTTCGGTGGTCAGTGGCATTTGCTTTTATGAAGAAGATTAGTTCCATCCTTAAAAGCATTTGACAAAAACCCGCAGGGAGTGTGTGTGTGTCGGGGTGAGTAGGGGGTGACGCTCCTCTTTGTGTCCTGCTGATGGTTTGTCGCTTCCTTGCTCAGAACTTTTATTTCTGATAAAACCTGAGGCTGTTATAATCAACCAGCTTTGCAGAAGTCCCTTTCTTCCCTGGTTTACACTTGAAGAAATCAAGGCTCTGAGTAAACTTTGGAATGTAGAGTGACAGTACTTGATTTGCAGTTTGTAACCACCTGGTTAGTGCTAGATTAAGGAAGAAATGGTAGTTAATTAGAAATGTGGAAAACCGAAGCTCTTCTAAATGCAAAAAGTGGAGACTGTGCCTGTTTAAAATTTAGGGTGTATTGTCATCATTATTACTAATAAAATAGCAATGACAATTATTAATTTTCATTTCCCTCAATCTGCCGTATATTGACCACTAGAGATACGTTCCACTTTCAGGATTGTGAATATTATTAATAAAAGCTAATAAAAAGTCTTAAAATACCAATTTCCAAAATGGCAAACTATTATTTGGTGCTTATTAATCCATAACATGTTAATACTATTAATATGATCTGGGAATTTGAAAAATATACCTTCATTTGAAAAATATACCTTCGTATGCTTTGGTTGGATATTATACTTTGGCAAAAGTGATTGTATTAACCTGTAGAATATTTATTTTGAACCATATATTTTCATGTTTTTAAAATTTAGTCTATATTCCTCATATTTGTGATTTTAGGATACTGATTTAATATAGGTGAGCAGGATTACAAGACTGGGAACTTGCATCTGATTTTTAACAAGGACAGATTATGGTTTGTTATCTAGATGAAGTAGCATGTTGTTAGTGAATTAACAGTGGAAGTTTGAGTGAAGAGTCAAAGGCTCTGCCACTTCAGGTGACTCATTCAACTCCAAATTTTAGTTTCTTTGTTTATAAATTGGATTAATGAGACTAAAACTTATTTCACCGTGTCACAGTGTGCTAATGGACATGGTAATGCGGTTAACCTTCTTCAGTCTTGTCTCTTGTTCATCATTTGGCTCTTCCTTGCTCAGAGTTCTCATTCATCTGGGGAAAGCATCAAGCTACATAATCATAAAACTTTAGAGAAGTCCAAGTTAGATATATGAGTAAAGTCAGAGTCCTATTAGCAGGGAAAGGGCAGTGGGTGGGTGGGGGCAATAGTAGGTAAGCAGCCAACATTTTTTTGTCAGACTCATTATGGTCATTGAATTGAAAAAATCATCCTCTACCCCTGAAAGGTTAAATATATTTTCTAAAGTCTTTTAAAAACTTTTATTTATTTTTTGTTAATCCTCTCCTGAGGATATTTTTCCATTGATTTTTAGAGTGGAAGGGAAGGGGAGACCAGGAGAGAAACATTGTTGTGAAAGACACACATTGATTGGTTGCCTCCACATGTGCTCCAACTGGGGCGGGTATCAAGCCTGTAATTGAGGACCAGAATTGAATTTGGCCCTTCAACCACTGAGCCAAACTGGCCAGGACTAAAAAACTTCTTTATTGATGTATAACATGTAAGGAAAGATGTACAAATCATAATTGTACAGCTGTATGTAGAATCACAAAGTGAACATTACTCAAATTAAGAAAATAGAGCATTGCTATCCCTCCTGAAACCCCCCTATACCTCCTCTCATTCACTATCTCCTGTCTCCCACCTGTTAATACCATAAATTAATTCTGCCTGTTTTGGGGTTATTATTTTTCATTTATATTTTTCCCTGGTTTTATTGAGATATAATTGACAAACATTAGTTGAATATAGGTCTGAATAATTTAATATACAGAGTCAACTGCCTTATAGATAGATACTTCATGAAATTTCTTGGAATTTTTAATCAGTATCAGTGGAAAACTTTTGCTTCTCTGAGTCCCTGCATCAATATCCATTTATCCCACTATAGTGGACACAATTAGTTGTCATAACATGAGATAACAGGCCAGTGTGCTTTCCTTAATTGCTGTGTAACGTGGCTTTATAAGGTGGTTTATACCTGCCTACACGCAGTGTTTCTGTGACTCATGGGTATGTAAATCACTGACAGGGCCTTTCTAAGATACTTAGTGCTTATAAAGTTGAATTGTTAATGGAAGAAAAGGGAGTAAAGAGTAAAAATTAGAAATTATTGGAAACAATGGAAAAGTTAATAGATTAAGAAAGATCAGACTAAACCAGCAAACTGCCAGACTTATAAGGAGAATTGACTTGGGACGGGAACCAACCTCACAGAGTGCAGTGGACTCACCTAGAGGGCTTCACGGGAGCATCATGCTCACAGGAGACACTTCAAGTCTTAGTTGTCTTGGCAGATTTGGGGAGGTAAGACCTGAGCTGAAGGAGAGATCCAAATAGAACTCAGAAAACTGAAATTTTATACCCCAATAGGTGTATTTCAGGACATGTTTCCTTAATCTGAGTTTTTCTTAAATGTTTTTAAATATTCACATATAAAATCATTTTTGAAGCCTGCTAGATGTATTTCAGAGTGTGAATGGGCCATAACTTATTCTTTCCTCTGTATATGTAAATTGTTCTATATGTTTTTTGTTCTCTGTAGGTTACTGGGAACATCCTTGTATGTACATAATTTTTATCAGCATCTCTGATTTGATTCCTCAGAATAAAGAACTTTTGAGTTCCTTTAAAAATTGTCATTATTAAAGTAATTTGTGTTTATTATAGAAAATTTGTGAAATCTAATAAAAGTGTAAAGAAGAAAATAAAAATCATCCTGCCATCCAAATATATGCCTTGCTAACATTTTGGTATCTTTCGTTACATATATATATCTAACAGCCTACAATTTTGAATGGCTAAATAATATTCCATTTTATGAATGTGCCATAATTCACTTAACTATACTGTTTATTTTAGAACAATTAAAGAATTCTTTAAAAAAATAATTGTCCATTCAGTGATCAACTGCCACGTATCAGGTTCTGTGCTAGGCACTGGAGACAGTGAGTAAGTGTGTCCTACCTTCTGTGAGGTTTCTTTTTTTAAAAATTTCTTTATTGATTAAGGTATCACATATGTGTCCTTATCCCCCCACTACCTCCCCATTATCCCCCCAAACCCCCGCACTCATGCCCTCACCTCTGTGAGGTTTCTTAGAAATCTCAAATTATAGCTGTCTTAACTCTTTCAAGGGAGAAATACAGGGTTCTGTGGAAATGTCTAATGGGAAGACTCAGGCAGGCTTCCCTGAGGTATGATAAAGTCTGAGACCTGAAGGATGAGTAGCATGTAGCTAGGAAAAGACTGTACCTAAAGGGGTTGTAATGGAAGAGAGGGGTAAAATACCCTCCTGAGATGGTTTCTGTGTGCTGCAGAGGATCTATAGAAATGGAAAAGGAGGCCTAAAATAAATGCTGAAATATGTTTTATTTCTTACACACGCACACATTCACAAGGGTTGGTCAGTGGAGAACTGCTGAGCAAAGTGATGTCAGTTGCCTGTTGCCATTTGCAAAGCCTAGAAAATGGGATGAATGTGGATGAATGTGGATGAATGTGGGCACCATACCTAACCAGAGCCAGAGCCATAAAACAGGTGACAAATGTGTTTTCAAATGTTTGTTATTATATAATCCTTATTGGTCCTGTGACACCATCATTATTTCCTTTTGAAAATGAAAAAAGTGAGGCTTCTGTGAAGTACCCAAGGCACAGAGCTAATAAATTACAGAACTAGATTTCAATCAAGAGAAAGGAAGGCCAGTGCTTTTCCCCCCATCATGATGGCCTCCACTCTCTCACCTTCAATGCCTGCTTGACCCTGTGTCCTCTCAGTCTTCATGAGTGAACAGCCTCCCTCCTCCCCCACCTCTGACCCACAGATGGGCTACTTTTTCAAGGGTGCTGCCTCTTGTTTGGTGATGACTCATATTACAGGTGATGACTCACATTACAGGAAGGTGCCATGGTGTCCTCAACTGTTCTGATATGTGCACGTGGTTGGGTGGCAGGGCCTACCCACAGCCTTTGTACAAGGTGTAGAGGCTGGTGACCTGAGCCCAACTGCAGCCGGCCACCGCACAAGACCACTGTCAGCCCAGGCATTTTCAGAAACCCTTCCAGGTACTTTTATTTCTTAAAATTTCCCCACTCCTCAACATCTACACAAATAAAAGAGAAAGATGCAAATTGACCATACCTTCACGATGCCCACCAGCCAACCAGGGGTGGGTATGCAAATTAACCCAACAAAGCTGGTGGGTTAATTTGCATATGCAGGTGCTGAGCGCCAAGAGCAGGGTGGGACGCTTGCATTCTGCACCGCCCCAGCCGCTCTGGGCCTCTGGGCAGCATGGGAAGGCAGAAAGACGGCTCTGGGTGGAACGAAGGCAGAAAGGCTGCTCCAGGACAGAGCGAAGGTGGTGCCAGCAGCCAAGGGAAGGAAGGCTCATTCTTGCACGAATCTTCATGCATCAGGCCTCTAGTTTTATTATAAAAACTTCAAAGTTAAAAAGTTTTTACAGTGAACTCACACATATCCACCATTAACATAATTTTACTCTGTTTGCTTTATTGCATAGGCATCCATCACTTATCCCTTTCTGTATCCACCAGTCTGTCTGCAAAGTAAGTCAGAGATATCAGTATACTTCCCCATAAGTATTTCAGCATGCACACCACTTGCCAGAGTTCAATATGTTTACACATTTTTCTTTTGATGTAAAGTGTACCTGCAGTTTCGAAGAGATTACCTGCTGAGTATTGGCCAATGCTTATGCCTGTATAACCCTAACTCCCCACTGAGATGCTAAAACATTACCTTCACCCCAGAAAGTCTCCCATGCCTCATCCCACTCAATCCTTACTCTGGTCCCGGCAACCAGTGTTCCTTTAACAACACAGATTAATTTGACTGTTCTAGAACTTTATATAAATGGAATTATGTAGTATACATTCTTGTGTAAAAGGCTTTACTCAGCACAATGTATTTGTGAATCACTCACATTGTTGTGTGTATTGGTAGTTTGTTTCTTTTTATTGCTGGCTAGTATTCCATTGTATGAATATACCACAGGGGCTTTTTGCCCATTCTCTTATTGATAAATAGCTGTTTCCAGTTTGGGGCTATTACCAATAAAGCTGCTATGAACACTGCACAAATCTTTTGGGACATATGTTTTCATTTCTCTTGGCTTGGAATTGCTGGGTCATAGTGTAGGTATATGTTTAGTTTTATAAGAAACTGCCAGACCTTTTCCCAAAGTGATTGTACAATTTTATACTCCTACCAACACAATGGGAATTCCAGTTGCTTCATAGTTTAGCCATTATTTGTATATTCTGCTAAGTGTGTAGTAGTGTCTTGTCCTGCCCCATGGATTTTTATCATTTCAGTTTAGGGAAACTGAATGAATACAGTGAATGGAAGAAGAGTAGAAGGATGAAGCAGATAGTTCTTCTTTGAAATTGTATGCATTGTATACTTTATAGCATTGATGTACGGATTCTCCAAATCCTCATTTTTTAACATCTTCCTGTTCTTTTTAGATAGTGCATCGTTCTTTTGATATTCTTCAAATTCCTTCTTATGTTCATAATTACCTTAGAGCTATTCAGCAATTTAATTACCTATAATGCCTAATATTCAGCTGAGTCTGGTTCATGATGAACTTTTCCTTTGTGTTTTATAATTTTGGAAAGGGAGCCTACGTTAACTTAGTTCTTTATTTCTGGGAATCTTGTCTGGCCTGGCTGGATTGTGTTGTGTTTGCTTTAGGATTATAATCCAGGGATGCCATCAGTCTGTGACTACTTTCTATGTTAAAGTTCTTGGTTTGGGGAGTCATGGCTATAAGAATCCTGGCTACATTCAAAGCTCAAGTCTATTCTGAGGACAGCCCCAAAGTTATGAATTCACATTTTGTATACCCCAAGCTCAGTGTAAGATGAGTTCCTTTGCTAATGTACTGCTTTTTTTCTAGTCCATCCTTTCATGGAAGAGTAGGGGAGCACACCGAGTGCCGCGTTAAGGGAGATCTTTCTTTCAACCCTCTTCTTGCATTTCCTGACCTCAGCTCTTGTCCCATCTGGGTTTTGGTCCCTCGCTTATGGATAGCGAGTTAGTTGTGCCCAGGGGGCCACTATCTTAGTCATTTTGCTGCTAGGACAGATTTCAGACTGGGTGTCTTAAACAAAGGGCATTTATTTTTCACAGTCCTAGGGCCTGAGAAGTCCACCTGCAAGGTGCCAGCAGACCTGTGTGTGGCGAGGGCTCCCTTACTGGCCATCTTCTTGTGCCCTCACGTGGTGGAGAGAGAGAGAAGGAAACTAATCTCCACCTTCCTGACCGAATTACCTTCCAAAGGCCCCACCTTCTAATACTACTTATTGGACTTCAATGTGTGAATTTGGGGCTGCCCCGAACATTCAGTCCACAGCAGCTACTGTGTGGGCCACGGCTTGTGGCCAGTGCCCTGTGTGTGTTCAGTCCCTGGGGTTTCCTTACTGCTGACCTAGCTGTGCATGGGAGTGCGTGTTTGTATTGTGTTACCCGACATATATGGGTCCTTTGTAGCAGGAGGGTGTTCAAACTTTTCTAGTCCTGTGTGTTGCCAGAAATGAAAATCTAAGGAATCAAAATTGTGGTCATCTGTGATTCTTAGAAATATGGGGAAACGTTCATTATAAGTCTGTCCTCAAAAAATCGTCCACCAACACATGATTTTAGTATAATGAGTTTTCTGCACTGAGGTGGTTTCTTGTTTTCTTTACAGGGCACAGCTCTGAGGTGCAGAAAAGGTGGTGTGTTTTTGAGCGTTCTGAGCGTCGGAAGGAAACCAGACATGTCCTTGGACGACATTAAGATGAAATCCAGTGACTTCCTGGAGAAGGAACACCTAGACAGCGGGGGCTTCGGGAAGGTGTCTTTGTGTTTCCACAGGTCCCACGGGCTCGTCATACTGAAGAAGGTGTACACGGGGCCTAAGCGGACAGAGTGAGTGGGGAGCTGGGTGGGTGGCCCCGCCATGGGCTGGCCCCGGGGTGGAGGCTGCGGAGGTGCAGGGCTGTGGTGGGGAAGGCTGGCACTGGCTTTAGAATGAGACAGCCCATGGTGTAAGTGTCAGTATACGGCTCATGTCCAACAGCTCTACAAGGTGGTTACTGTCCCTGTATAGCTGACAAGGATTTTGAGGCTGGTTGATGAAAAGGTTACAGCTGGTTAATAATGGACATGAAAGGAAGGGAAGAAAGTAGACAAAGCCCAGGCTGGTGTGGCTCGGTGGTTCAGAATCGACCTATGAACCAGGAGATCACAGTTCAGTTCCCAGTCAGGTCACATGCTTGGGTTATGGGTTCGATCCCCAGTGTGGGGCATGCAGATCAGGGTGATGAGGAAGGTGATGAAAAGGAAATGGGAGAGATCAGTGAAAATAGACTTGCTCCACATGTTTGGTGAGGACTAGCCCTAAGTATGGAAAAGAAAAGAAAGTGCTTCATTAACTAGCGGTTCCAGGAACCCTCTCTAAAACAGTTGGTAGTGCTGTTTCACTTCCCCTTCTTGCCACAGTGGCTATGAGCGAGGCTGCGTTTTCCTTACACTGTCCAGCACAGTCCTTTTCTCGGACCGTGTGTTGCTGCTGCTCTTCACGTTACTGTTCTCTCATTCGCTCAGCAGGGTGGCATTTCTTAAGGGCTCCCTGCCAGCCGCTGGGAAGGGAAACCACTCTGCCTTCTACAGCTTGTAGTCAGTGCCTGGCAGAGACCAGTACAACAAGCAGTGACAAAAGCACGTGCGCCAGGATGCCCGGGAGACGCGGGCTGCACGGGCTGCACTGGCGGGCGCACAAAGGGAAGAGGGGCTAACTGCCCATCCTCACAGCACCTTTCCCTCCCACAGGTACAACGCGTCCCTCCTGGAGGAGGGCAAGATGATGCACAGGCTGAGACACGAGCGGGTGGTGAAGCTGCTGGGCATCATCATCGAGGAGGGGAACTACTCCCTGGTGATGGAGTACATGGAGAAAGGCAACCTGATGCACGTGCTGAAGGCCGAGGTATGGCCCCCACAGAGCGCATGGCGACCCCATGCCCTTGTCTGAGACGGTTGTGCTTCGTGTTCTTTTGTAGATGTTGGTGAAAAATAATCCTTTCGCAAATTGTTAGATATTTTGGATTTTCTGGTCAGTCCTTCATTAAATCCTCCATGACTCTCCCTCCCCAGAGGGGGGCCGGGCCCTTCTCTCCTCCCTGCAGACAGTCTCCTGCGTCCCTGCTGTCAGCCACTCTGAGATCCACAGTTCAGAGACAGACCCTGTCTGCATGAAGCCCAGGGTCTTATGAGGGGTATATGCACAATGGATATCAATCACATATTAATTGATTGATTAAAGAGTGTATTCTATCAAGGTCTGTATGAGAAGGAGTATTAATGATTGCACACTGATACCATTTAAAAAACTTACAGCTTAAATGTACAGCATTAGAGGCAACAACACTGGAGAAGTAAGACTTAAAACAGCAAAATAAGAAGTTTACCAAAACCAAATAAGTCTAAAGCATTTCTAAAAGTTTATGTATCTGTTAAGAGGAAGGCCTTCTGCTAATTGCTCAGGAAGCAGTAGCAAATAAGACATAGACAAGTAAAGGGGGCAAATAGTGTGTGATGTTTTGGTCGACCACTTCATTGTGTGCTATGGGAACACGGAGGAGAGAAACATTCTAGCATGGGGCAGGTAGGAAAGGATTCCAGAAGGAGGATGCTTGAGCCAAAATCTGAAGGAAAAGTAGAGGGTTTGAAGCAGAGAATTAGGGGTAAGTGTTCCAGGCAGAGAGAATGGCATGTGTCAAGGAACAAGAGTATGCCAAATTTGGGAAACTGCAAATAACTGGGTCTGGCAAAGCGTAGATTGCCTGTGGGGGTGGTGGGATATGATTGTCTCTATGGCAAATATCCTCCAATGCCATGTCATGAGTTAAAATTGAAAGTGGGTGCACTTTTCCATTTTCTCCCCTGGCCTCACAGCTGCTGAAGCTATGCCAATTCTTCTCAGTCACAGACATCTCTCACGAATACCTATGGGAAAGATACAAGATACAAGATAATCACTTGTACACATTGTATTATCATTTGATCAGATTGCTCTTCTCTCCAAAACTAGTTAAGATCAGGTGCATGAAAGAAGCAGGCAAAGATAAGGTGCACTAATAGGCTCAACAAGAAAATCAGGCCGAAACCGGTTTGGCTCAGTGGATAGAGCGTTGGCTTGCGGACTGAAAGGTCCCAGGTTCGATTCCGGTCAAGGGCATGTATCTGGGTTGCAGGCATGTCCCCATTAGGGGATGTGCAGGAGGCAGCTGATCGATGTTTCTCTCTCATTGATG